ACGATCTACCATCTAGGCTGTACACTAAAGTCAAAAGAGGAAGGCTGATTCCTCTTCTGGACCTCCTGCTCATTCCTTAATCTACCTCAGTCTGGCTTCTGCCCCTTCTAATCTACTGAACCTTCAAGGCTCCCTCTCACACTTTCTCTAAAACTTCCTATACACTTTATTTTTAGCACTGATAATACTCCTAACACACAATGATCAAGGCTAGCCTATTACAAAGAACTTACTAAATGGTGAGTTCTATGAGGGTCAATAAGCTTAGTTTTATTCTTTATGTTTATCAGTAAATCCCATATTATCTTTGCTAAATAGTTTTATAAATATCAGTCTACATAGTATCTAAGACCTAATACACAGTTCCTTTACAGCTACTGCTCATGACAATTATGCTGCAAATTAGATGATAGGTGCTTAAAACTCCTGTAACTGATTCATTCATTTATTCCAAGAGCAAAGAATGTCACCTAAATACTGGGTTATAGGTAACAGAGAAGTGGTTATAGGTAACATGAAATCAGCTTCCATTTCTTGAGGGCTTACTATAGCCAGTCCCTGTAGAACGACTGACATATCTGATCTCAATCTTGTCATTCACGCTCTAAGGTAGTCCACTGGGTATTATTCCTGTGTTTCACATAAACAAACAAAATTCAAAGAAATGGGGTAAAATAATAAGCAGAAGAATCTACACCAGGTCTGACACAAAGTCCACATGCTATCCTCTCTTGGACCAACAGAACTACGACAGTGTTCACTTCTGGAAGGTTGTTCACAAATCTGACCTGACCCTTAAAGAAAAATACAAAGAAGCATCTATTAATCTACTATCTATCTAGCTGTCTATTTCCTTCTTTGTCCCCGCCCCCCTTTTAAAATATATTTTGCCAGAGGGTATGTGCACTAACCAGAGGGAGACAGAGAGAGGGAAGTAAGAAAGCACTATCCCTGACCCATGAGGTATGCTCACACTGTAATCCCTTCTCCTTCATTTTCCCCTCCTTTTGGGATTTTGAGAATGCATGCACGCATGCCTGGGGTATGTTTTTCAAGTCACCAGGTCTACGACTCAAACTGCACAGTTGGCCATGTGGCATACATCCTCCTTAATTACCACTCCACTAGATAGCCTGCTTCTGCAATTTCACCTCTCTCTCTTTGCTGCAAGCATAACTATCTTCTCAAAAATTAGAAAATGGGAGAACTGGACAGCATAAGCAAAAGAATAAAATTGGACTCTTTACCTTAGACTACATATAAAAATTAACTCAAAATGGATGAAAGGCCTAAATGTAAAAGTGAAAACTTTAACACTCTTAAAAGAAAACATAGGGATAAATCTACATGACTTTGGAGTTGACAAAGAATTTTTAGATATAATAACAAGAGTACAAGCAACAAAGCAAAAAGCAGATAAACTGAACATCATCAAAATTAGGAACGTCTACTTATCAGAGGACATTATCAGGAAAGTGAAAAGACAACATACAGAATGGGAGAATATATCTGCAAGCTATATACTGGGTAAGGATCCAGTATCCAGCATATATAATGAATTCTTTGGCCAGCCAGCGGCATGGGGGTCAAGGCAGCTGGATCCCACATGGCTGACTGCACAATTTAAGAGCTAGGCTTGAAAAACACACCAGGCACATGTATGTGTATGTCCAAAATCCCAAAAGGAAAAACTAAGGAGAAGAGACTCTGGTGTGACTATCCCCCATGGGAGACACTTACTTTCTCTATCTGTCTCTGTCTCTCTCAGGCAAGCATACATATCCTCTCCCACATGGACAACTGCACAGTTTGAGTCTGAGGCCTGATGGCTTGAAAAACATACCAGGTATGTGTGTATACGCCCAAAATCCCAAAAGGAAAAATGGAGAAGAGACTATGGTGTGAACATCCCCCACGGGAGGCACTTTCTTAGTTTCCTTCTCTTTCTGTATCTCAGGCAAGCACACACACCCTCTAGAAAAACTGTTTTTTAAATTCATACAATTCAACAATAAAAACTAAACAATGTAATTTAAAAATGAGAAAAGGACCTGAATACATTTTTCCAAACGTGATATATCAATGTCCAACAGCCACATGTCATATGCAAAATGTAAATCAAAATCATAATGAAATAACACTTCATACCTACTAATATGACCAGAATCAAAAGGTCACTAATAACAAGTGTTGACAAGAATGTGGAAAAATTGGAACTCTCACACATTACTAATCAATATAAAATGGTGCAGTCACTTGGGAAATCGGTCTGGCACTACCCTAAATGATTAAACATAGACTTACCATATGACTGAGCAATTCTACTCCTAGGTACACGCTAAGGGAAATTAAAACATGTGTCCACCCAAAAACTTACAGGAATGTTTATAGCAGCATTATTTGCATAACAGCCAAAAGGTGAAAATAACCCGAATGTTTATTAACTCATAAATGGAAAATAAAATGTGATATATTTGGACAATGATATATTAATTCAAACCATAAAATGGAATGAAATACAGGCCCAGCCTGGTGCCACAGTCAATAGCAAACTGAACTGCAGTGCCTGAAGTTACATGCCTAACGGCGGGTTCAGATCCCAGGTTGGCCTAAAAATTCACTGGGTGTGTGTGCACATATCCAAGATCCTGAAGATCTAGAAGGCTAGAAAAGGGGGCTCAAAGTACGACAAGACTCCACTGAAGATACTTTGTGCATGTTCTCTCTCTCCCCCTCATGCTTGCATACACTATCATAAACTAGTTAACACTTAAAAAAAAAGAATGAAATCCTAACATGTGCTACAACATGGATGAACACATACTAAGTAAAGGCAATCGCAAAGGCTACATGTTAATGATTCCATTAATAGGAAAGTCTAGACTAGGAAACTAGAGAGACAGGAAGTAGAAGAGTGGTTGCTTTAGTGCTGAATGGGATGTGGAGTGGAGGGTGCCTAAGAGAGAGAGAGAGAAGGAACCAATGAGACAGAAGCTAAAGAAGTGAATTCTCAGTAAAGCCAACAGCAAAGAAAGTGGAAAGCACACACAGGTTTGAGATATAAAGAGTAACTTAAGAGTAAGAGTACGCGGAGGAGACAGAATGTAGCAGAGAGGCTAGAAAGACAGGTGAAACCTCAATCGCAAGGCGTCATATATTCTTCCACGAAGTTAAGATTTACTCTTAGAAAAAGGAGAACCATTGGTAAATCAATAAAAGCATGTAACATGGGGACCAGCAGTTAGCGTAATGGCTATGTCGCTGGACTCCCATGTAGTCGACCGTGGTTCGTGTCCCGGACCCAGTGGCTTAAAACTCACGCCGGGCGCATGTGCCTGCGTGCCCAAGATCCCGAGAGAACAGAGGAGACGGGATTGCAGCGTGGTCATCCCCCCTGGGGGGTGATTTCTCACTTTCTGTCTCTCTGTCTTTGTCTGTCTGGTGAGTGCATGCCCCCTATAGAAAAAAAAAAAAAAATCTCTCAAAAATAAAAAAGCATGTAACATGGGGACCAGCAGTTAGCGTAATGGCTATGTCGCTGGACTCCCATGTAGTCGACCGTGGTTCGTGTCCCGGACCCAGTGGCTTAAAACTCACGCCGGGCGCATGTGCCTGCGTGCCCAAGATCCCGAGAGAACAGAGGAGACGGGATTGCAGCGTGGTCATCCCCCCTGGGGGGTGATTTCTCACTTTCTGTCTCTCTGTCTTTGTCTGTCTGGTGAGTGCATGCCCCCTATAGAAAAAAAAAAAAAAAATCTCTCAAAAATAAAAAAGCATGTAACATGATCGGAACTATGTATTAGGATAAGTCTGGTGACACTGTGGAAAAATAACTGGACGGGAAAAAGCCCAGGGATAAAGATGAAAATAAAATTAATATAAAAACCAGTTAGTTGAGAGTAGTTGGAACTATGTCGGTAGCAATAGAAAGAAAAGGAAAAATGCACAGAATATGTGATCAGTTCTACTTGAATTTTCAGAAAGAAGTCACAAAGTGTGGATCCAGCCTGAGTAAAAAGAAGGCTAGTGGTATCCTTATTCCATAGAAGAAATGCAGGAGGAAGTGGTCTAAAAAAAGGGGCTCAGTATAAATGCTTATATGACTTCTAAGTAGAAATTCCAATAGACAGGTGGAAGTCAGAGAGTGGAACTGGAACCCATGGGAGCTAGTGGGGAAATCGGTTCTAAAGATCTTGGCTGTAGAAAATACTAGTAAGATTGGGTAGAGCAACAGTGCTCAAACTTTAGCTGGCATAGGAATCACCTAGAAGTCTTGTAAAAACAGACTGCAAGGCCTAGCCCCCAGATTTTCATTCACTAGGTCTGGGATAGGCCCAAGAATTTGCATATCTAACCAGTTTCCTGGTGACATTAATGCCTTAATCACTACTGGAGAAAAAGGAGAGGAGCCTCGAAAAGAACCTTAACGAACAGAAGGCCAGGAACAAATGTTGAGTTGCTCAGCAGCTCTCAAAATCAGAATAACCCCATAATTCTCCAAACACAGAGGCCAAAACAGGCTAAGTTCCAAATCACAGCCGAAACACAGTAAAAGGAAAAGCACTGTCAGAGTGTTACTCTATTTTCCACCAAGTAATGAAGAGTAAATTTCTCAAAAGCAGCTATCAAGAAAACATGCTGTAGCAAAGATTTTAAAATTGGCAAAAGAGCTAGTAGCAAAACTACAAAAAGAAAAAAAAAATCTACAGCATCTTCCCAGGTGGCATCAAAAAATACCAAAGAAACCACTAAAGGGAGGACATAGACTTGAACTCAATAAGGGGCTGTCCCAGCAGCAGGCATTATCTTTGCCTAAAACAGTAAAGCTGCCTTCTGCGTAACTAGATTACCGTGAAATTTATACCATTGTTTTGAAATGTATGTATATTTTACCACAATTTTAAAAAAATGTATACCATCATATAACACACATCTAAAAGGGTAGACAGTTTTCAGACCTGCAAACCCAGGCAGAATTTTGAATGCTGGTGCTCATTTACCTCTTTGACTGAGAATTCCTTCAGGCCTAAATATTTCTGGAGTCTCAAAGGCAAAAATGCAGTCGCTTTCATGGACCGTTTCCAGGTCGTCTGTATCACAAAAGGAACGGTGGAACCCATCATAGTACATTTCTGTTAACACAATCTAAAAACAGGAAAAATGCACACAGTTGTGTAACTAGAAATTCAGTATGAATCGATCTCCCAATTTCTCTTTGAACTCCAGATCATCAGGATTTGCTGTGTCTGAGAGCTCTGAAACATCTCACAGAATCCGATTATTTGACTTCAATAAGAGAATCTGGGAAGCATAATACCCTTTATAACTGTGTAACAGTATACCCCAATTTCAGCACTCTATGGTAATAAATCCAGAGTTCTTCTAAATTTTGGTGGAGAAGAGACCCAAGAGATTAGAAGGGCTACTCTTGTTTCACAGGAGGAAGAGAGGTTGAGAGATTTGTCTCAGGTTCTACTACTATACAGTCTCATGGCAAGGACAGTCCACACCTGCCTCCCATGACTTTCTCCCATAGCACTGAATTTCTTCTATTGGGTTAAAAATGTCAAATAACCACGGATAGATGTATTGGGGAAATATCAATTCAAATATCCAACAGTAACTAGTTAAATACATTATAGCTGTACTGGAATTATTATAAAGTTGTTAAGAAGAATGAGCTACCTACATGTGCACTAACATGAAAAGATCTAAATTAACAAAAAGCAAGGTAAAGCACAATATATGTAAATGATGCTGCTTTTATAAAATAATGTAGTATATGAACAGAAAAAAAGTGAATAGGGCCTAGCAAGTGGTGTGGTAGTTAAGGGTGCTAGACTACCACAAGGCTGACTACGGTTCAAGCTCTGGACCTGGTGACTTGCTTTCTCACTTTTCCTCTCTCTCTCTTTCTGTCTGATCCAACTGGAAAATAATAATAATAAATAAAGTTGAATAAAATAATTCTTTAAGGGGCCGGCAGGTGGTGGCGTGGTGCTTAAAGGTACTGGACTCCCGCAGTGGTCCGAGTCCCAGACCTGGCAGCTTGCTTGCTCTCTCTCTCTCTCTCTCCCCCCCCCTCCCTCTCCCTCTCTGGTCAAATTAAAATAAATAAATAAATGTTAAATAAAATAATTCTTTTTAAAAAAGAAAAAAGTGAATGAATTAATAACATGATATTAAAAATAGTAACCCTCAGTACTAAGATATTATTAGTATAAGACACTTTCCCTTCCTAAGTTTTATTTCTGAAATGGGTATTTAACAATGAAACAGAAAAACAAAAGATGGGGAGGAAAACAATGGAGACATTTAGAGGAACTTCATTATATGCTCAGCAGCACTGTCTACTGAAAAAGCACTGGACTGGACATGAGGATGTTCCAGGCCCAGCCTGCCACCACCTAGCCCTGTGACCTTGAGCAAGTCACATGGTTTCTCTGAGTTCCTTCAACCAAGGGGTTGGACCGGACCCTAACATTCCCTCTACCAGCACTAACATTCTACCAGCCTCTGTGGTGAAAGAGACTGGTGGCATAGTCTACAAATAGCCCAGGAAAAATGTTCCTGGCACATTTTCCTTCCAATGAATTTAATGGTCATGTTGTTTTTCTGCTGGTAAACATGCAAGTAGAATTCACTCTCTCCAGCAGCTGAGGTCAAAAGCAAACTTATAATTATTTCACCAATATAAAACACATGCAAGAGCCAGACAGACTGGAATTTCTAAAGATGCAACCAGAACCACCTTGGACACCACCAAAGCCTCTCTCCCTCTGTTTCTGTCGTTCCCCTTTTTATGATGGAGGTGGGAATCAATGACTTCTTCAGAGTAAAGAAGAATATGAACATTTTATCAATGTGCCAGTACCTGGCACACTGAAAATATGAGACATTTGCTATATCAGGGCAATACTGCTGGTTCTATTTGTTTTACTGTGGTAATTTCCCAAATGAGACTACACGAGGCCGAAGCACAAAACCCCTTTATATTCAAGTGATTACAAAGCAGTTTCAGAAGCTATCTAGGGAAAATCCATTTAGCCACTGAGTCATCTTTCCTTAGTAAATCTTGAATAAGAGATACTTTCCCATATAAAATCATAATGGTAAATTGAGTAAAAGTTGTACATAAAAATAAGTCACAAACAGGCCAAAAGTATTCTTGGTCAACTTAAATATAACTTATTATCAGAGGCGTACCCCAAGAAAAGGAGGGTATGACTTCCTCTAATCTAAACAGGTAAGAGACTTTGCTCCAGGAAACACAGTGAGCATCTATTATGTACGGAATATTGTACGAGCAACATGTCCATTCTCATCATCAAAATGGGAAGCTGTTTTTAGGGTCACTATTTGTGTTTTCTAAGCCTCTTTGACAGTCACATACCACAAGGTTGTTCTTCCTATTGTCCACATGCACTTCCATAAGAAAAATTTAAGAGGGGTTAATTATATTTTAAAAGCAAAATTATAATAAGGTCTTGGTGTAAAGTCACAGCTTTTCCTTAAAAAAAATAAAAAAAAATCCACACACACTTAAATGAAGCATGGTAAGTTTCTCTATACATTTTACTCTTGGGGACTTGACTTTTTTTTTCTTCTTCAACACTAGGTGCAACTGGTTTTAAATTTCCCTCTAACCATATATGGCAGAGAACAATAAAAAAATTCCAAGAGAACAGAAAGCAGCACTTTTGTGGCTCACGTGTAATTGGTCTTTGCTGGCTTATTACCTGATCAGTGGGGATCTTTGTTTCCATAGACACTGCTTCCCGAAGTCTGGCGACAGTCCCAGACAGAGGCACAGCCACGCCAATCCTCATGCAGTGAGAACACTTCCCTTGATACACTACAGTGACATAGAGAGGCCTGTACAGATCAAAGTCAGATCTTCTCATTAGTCACTTATTTCAACTAAAACACAGAAAAAGCAAAAGACACCTGATTTGAAATCAACACAAAACTGAAGCTACATCCTTAAGAAATGGATGTAGCTGGAAGTCAACTAGAGAAACTTCATTTGGACCGAAGCAGAACTCACAAACACTAAATAAGACTTTTGAAAAGTCAAGGTTCATAGAACAAAAATATAACATTATCCATACTTAATTCTGCACTTTGTATTTTCTTTAGTGTAGCATAATTCTTAGAAGTTTTGAGAAATAGTGTGAAAGCAAGCAAGAAAGAAACAAGAAGTACAATGTAAGTTTCTAAAGAATCTAAAAGTCACTCAACAACCCTCCCCTTACCTCCAGTTGATCTGCAGAGGACCAACTGAACCAAATACCTGCTTGCTTGCCTCATGCACCTGCTCACCCTGCAAACTCAGGCAGGCATCTATTTATATAAGGATTTCATAATGCTCATATTCAATTTATCATTAATCTCCTAACTTGTCTAAATAACCAATAAGACCTAACAGTCCTACACAGGAAAAGGAGCACTATCAGAATGTAGTCTTAATTTTATCAAGTCTATTCTTACCTTGTGTGGGGTAGAGGAATTGGCAAAGAAATGCAGAGAAAAGGGTCAAAGGTGTTGCTTTGTTTTTGACAATGAGGACATGTCAAAGAAGATCTTCAAAAACAAAACATAAGAAACTCACATTAGGATCACTGAGAACTATGCCAAGCACACAAGATAGAGGGAACATCTGATTTATTCATACCTGTATTGGGCTTGAAAAAGTTCTTGTACAAAAGTGCTACAGACAGGAAAGGATGGCCCCTCGGGAATCATGTCAGTCTCTGATGGTGGCTAAAAAAAAAAAGGAAAGTATAATTTCACAGACTAGAAGTACCAGTTCTTGATTGAAAATGAACCTAAAAAGTCACAAATGTCCTTGACTTCCTTTACAAGGTCTGCACCAAGTCCAGATGCTTCAGTGACAGGAACCAGAATGCAGCAGACAGGAGATGGGTCACATGGACTCTCCTCTCAAACAGACTCTGCCATCAACTGTGTTCATCTGTCTCCCCATTCAGGAAGTCAGGCAAACTCTCGTTTCTCAAGATGCTCCAATCTCCTTCCAAATCTCCAAGTCACCGTCCCATCAGCCTCTTCCAGGAAACAATCTCCACCCCTTTGAAAGTACCAATTCTTCCATGTCTAAATGCTCTAGTACCTATGAGCTATGCTGCTCATTTTAGTGTCTAATCATACTCCACTTCATATTTCATTTAACCTTTTCATGTCCTTTAGTAACAATTAGTAACTGAGCATCTGCTATCACATGCAGACAGGACATTAGGAAACAAAGAAGATACAGGGCCTGACCTTAAGGCTATCTCAATTTGGTAGGGGAGTCAGCCACACCCATCTAGTCATATCACAGTATAAAGTGTACAGGTATAAAAGGACCTTGAATCAGAATAATATAACTACTTACCAAAATTAAAAATTTAAAATTTGAATTACAGAATTATCGAACACTTTAAAAGCTGCAAGGAAGAAGTCTTTAGTCTTAATTTTTTCCATTATACAAATCACTTTCTCCATCATATTAAGGTTTTATGTGTAAAAACTGAGAATGAACTTGTTATGTTCCTCATTGAACATGCTGGGGATTCAGTTTCTGTGCTAGAATCCAATCCTAGCAGCAGAGACATCCATATATTTCTTTATTATATTTTCTTCCCAATAATCTGTGGGGTGTATATCTTATCAGAACAGAAAGAACACACTGCTTTAAAACTAGGTTAATGAGATATTGGGTTGTCAGGAAAGTCATGATGCATTTTTGCATAGAAAAACAGGAAAGTATGTCACGATTTCTCCGACAACCTAACAGAATCCCTTAAATTTAGTCTAAAGTTAGGCATACATGCAAATGATCCCCCTCTCATTGTAAGTTGAGAAGGGAAAACTATAAGTTCCCTGGAAAAGATGTCTCCTGTATCTAACATAGCCAGTCCAGGAGTAAACAAGGTCAAATAGCCTTTAAGTATCTGAATTTAATAATTACCAAAAACCTCATCAATTTCATTATATAAGCTCAACTAGGTGCCCTGCCACAGTTCCTTAATAGAGGTTTGGGATAGGAAGCCACACGCTCTCCTTACTCCATTCACTGGTGGTCACACTCCCTGACTGCCCCAGTGGAACATATATCCTCACCTTCAGAGGAGGCTGGCCACTCTGCTTCACAGCATGATTGAGGTCCTCGTGAACTCGATCCAAAAGCCACAGCAGAAACTCCTGGGCGTCATGCTGGGAATTTCCCCGATACTGCAGCGCATTCTTTGACACGATACTCTAATACAGGTAAACAAATTGGGATGAATCGTTGTGAGTTCCTTTCTTTAAGGATGACTATTCATAATCCCAAAAGAGGGATGCAGGAGCCCAAGGGTATTAGAGAGTACTTCCCAGACGGACAGCAATGTGAGAACAGATCTTAATGTAAAAGCCTCACCCTCAGAAACATGTGCATTTATCCAGTAATCCTTCTTTTAGAAATATATCTAAAGAAACCACCAGAAACCATGCCAAGACTTCTAAGAAGATATTCATTGGGATGCACTTCATGGCCTATGAAGGCAGCTGGATCCCATATGGCCAACTCATTTTGAATCCCACCCTAGTGACTTAAAACACACACCAGGCCATGCATGTGTGCCCCCAAATCCTGACAGGATATAGAAAGGGACAGGATGGGACTACAGGTGACCATACCTCAATAAGGGGTGCTTTCTCCCTTTCTCTCTCTCTCTCTCTCTCTCTCTGTCTCTCACAAATAAGCACAGGCAACCTATTAACACTTCAACAACAACAACAAAATATTAATCGGGGGTGGGGGCTGCCAGGTGGCATGATGGTTAAGGGTGCTGAACTCCCACATGGCTGACTGCAGTTCGAGTCCCAGACCTGACGGCTTGCTTTCTCGCTCTCTCTCTCTCTCCCTCTCCCTCCCTCTCTCTGGTCAAAATAAATAAACAAATAAAGTTAAATAAAATAATTCTTTAAAAAATATATTAATCAGGGTTTATAATAGAAAAAAATTGCTATCTTGGATATCCTCAAAAGGGGAATTCATTAAATAAATTGTGGTATAACTAACTACACAACCATTCTATAGCTATATGTATTTATATATACCTGGGTTCGTACACATACATTTCCTGGCTCTGCCTACTGAAAGGCACAGGTGCAGTGTTATACCAGGAACAAAGTGCATGTCAAAGGGAGATAGGAACCAACATGAAAGAGCTCCCAGAAGTCCCAAAGAAGGAACCATATGAGCACCAAAATCAGTAATATAATACTAGATTATAAACTAAATTATTAAAAAAAAAATCTATGCTGATATATGTAACTAAGTGGCTGATGAATAAGTGAGTGAGGGAAAAAAGAGAAGGCTTCCTTACAAAGGAATTCCCAATAATTTATGTTCATAATCCCTGGCTCCGGGTAGTGGAGCTTACCTCTACATTTTGACTATGGGCTGTGACAGTGGCTGCTCCCACAGGCAAGAGTATGGGAAGAGAAGAAGCAACTTTACAGTAAAGAAACCCATCCACTCCCACCTCAGCTGCTGACTGAGGTTAACATCATCAGTGGTAAGTCACATCGCCAGCATGCGGCCTTGACGTGAGGAGACGAGGTAGAACATTTTGCCTCTGCTGTCCCCCTCTCCAAAGCCCATGCCCTCAGTCTAACCACGAGGAAAACATCGAACAAAACCCAAATTAAGGGACATTCTGCAAGTAAACCTGACTGGTACTTCTCAAAACTGTGAAGGTCACCTAGAATAAGGAAAGTCTAAGAAACTGTCAGAGAAGAGATTAAAGAGACACAGTGACTAAATGTCATGTGCTGTCCTGGATAAGATTCTGGAACAGAAAAAGAGCACAGGGGAATAACTGGCAAAAGCTGATAAAGCATCAAACTTAAGTCGGAACTGGACTTAAGTCCAATAGTAACATACTAATACCAGTGTTTTAGCTGTAATAAATGTACCTCAGTGCCATGTGATAGCAGGGATACTGGGTGTGGACTTCACAAGAACTCTCTCTGCAACCTTTGCAGCTTTTCTTTAAATCTAAAACTACCTTAAAATCAAAATTTTATTTAAATATAAATATTTACAAACTTTCTTTTTTAAATAATTATTTATTTTATTTATTCATTTATTTTTTAATTTGACCAGAGAGAGACAGAGGTTGAGAGTGAGAGAGAGAAGAAGCGAGAAAAGAAGCCACCAGACTCAGGACTTGAACCCTGGTTGGCCATGTGGAAATGTCCAGCGCCTTAACCACCACGCCACCTGCTGGTCCCCAAAATATTTACGAACTTTCTATAAATATAATTATGGCAGTTGTGCATCTGGAACATTACTGGGAGCAGGAGAGGGGCTAAGGAGTAGGAGGACGGTAGTCGTAAAAGTCAAGGGACTCTCCCAAGAGGAGAGATGTCACTTGAGCTGAGCCTTGATGGATGAAGAGGCAGGGATTCAGGCAATGGAAGCACCATACGCAAACACATAAAAGTATAGAAAAAAGTTATGAGGACATCTTCAAGGAAGACCAAGCTGTTTACAGGCTTGAATTCAGTCTAGTTAGGCAGAACAGGAGTTAAATAGTGAAGATATTAGGCAGAGTAGAAGGAGCTGAAAGAGTAAAGTTCGGGAAAGGCTTTAAGGACCACTCAAGATGGCACAGGGAACCAGTAAAAGATTGTACATGAAGTGGCTAGTTAGAATCACAGGCGGGACCAGCGGGTGGTATGGAAATTAAGGCTCTTGATCCTACATGCAGTTCAAGTGCCAGACCTGGAGGCTTGAAAATCACATCAGGCACATTACATGTGTGCCCAAAATCCTGAGAAGAGAATGGAGGAGGAGGGATTACAGTGTGGCTATCCCCCCCAGGAGGGGGGTGATTTTTCTATTTCTCTTTCTCTCTGTCTCAAGCAAGCACATGCTCCTTATAGCAAACTTAAAAAAAAAAAAGAAAGAAAGAAAGAAAGAAAGAAAGAAAGAAAGAAAAGAAAAGAAAAGAAACGAAACGAAACGAAACGAAAAGAAAAGAAAAGAAAAGAAAAGATCATGGCCTCCTGAGCATATATCCTGGGGTTCAAATCCCTACTCCGCCACTTAGTATTTGTGAGGCCTCACCACTGATCTCCAAAGTAAAAAGGACAATAATGACTCAGTGAGATGGTTAAATGAAAATCAATGAAAAACATTTTACATGTAAATGAGATATAATCACTCAAAATTGGAAGAAAGGAGAAAAGAAAGGCGACAACTAAACAATGAGAGCAATGGGAAATAAAATGATGGCGGTCTAAGCCACAGGGCAGATTTTAGAAAAATTTAGGAACTAGAATGAACAGGATTTGTGACCTATGAATGTGGAGACTGAGGAGGGAGGGCAGTATTAAAGTCACCAAGTGTCTCATCTAGATGGCAGGCAAGTGCTACTGTCCTGCATCAGACAGAACCTAAAGAAGGAAGACGCCTAGGAAAGAGGTTGATGGGTTCCCTTCAGAATTCAGTGTAGTTGAAGTTCTGTGTAATCTGAGTGGAAAAATGTGGTAAACAACTGAAAATTACAGATCTGGTGCTCAAAAGAGAAGTCTGCACAAAGGACAAAGATCTGGGAATCAACAGGTGGGTGGGATTCTTCCATTTGGAGATAGAGGCCAGGAGAGAGGGTGGCATCACACAGCTGAAGGAGAAGAAACCTCCAAGGAGCTAAAGCAACAGTGTAATCCCCTACAGGAAAGTCAAGGAAGACAGGCCTGAGATGGTCCTCTGGAATAGCAAACGAAGAGGCTGCTTGCGTGTACTTCTCAGCGAAGCAGGATACTCATCTGAGAGGGTTGAAAGAGAAGAAAAGGTAAGGACAGTAATGACTGCCTGAAGACCATTCTTCATGCCCAATAAGTTTAGTTATAAAAAGGAAGGGGTTACGATGCTGTCACTATCTGGAGGGGTAGAGAGAGCAGAGAAACTTAAAGAAGCTAGCAGAAAGGAGCTATCCGAAGATAGATAACTCTTCTATAAGGAGAGGAGGGATTCAAAGAGTAGAAAATGCCTTAAGGAGGAGACGGAAGACAGAAGAGGAGATAAAAGACCGTGACGGATTCAGATAAGCTACAGACAGGAAGGCAGAGAACCTGTTTGAGTTTGTATTGTGTTGTGGAGGAAAGGGGACAACTGCTAGAAGTCCTAGGTGTAGAAGAGGTAATGACAAACCGATGGCGTACAGTCGGGTTACACAAAGTGCCAGAAGCCTAACAAGCTTCTGCTCATAATCCTCCCTCTTACTTAGTAAGTCGGAAAAGTCACAACATATTTTTCTATGCAAAAATGATTCATGACTTTCCTGACTACCCAATGCTTCTAATGGGAAAAAAAGGAGGTTTTTAAAAAAAAAAAAAAAAAAAGTTCTCAGCATATGCATCCAAAGAAAAGCAAATTAACTGAAATTAAACTCTTGGTTCTGTGTCAAGCAAGTACTCATTCTGTGTAAAAAGCAAGTATTTTACACAGCATCTATTCAAATTTCAGGGTGGAGACAATATTCAGGACTTTATCAAGGCTAAATTAAACTTACTTATGCTTCTTGCCACTATCACTTCAACTTACCCAGCATATCCACCAACTGCTAGGTGCTAAGACACTGCAAAGGCTGCTCAACAAGATTTTTGTTGGGCACGACTCAACAGGCACCAGGACTTCCACAATCCTCCCTAACTAGGGCAAAGACTGCACAGGGTCAGCCCCACCCTAAATCACTACATCACACGCTAAAGGAAACTTAAGGAAAAGGACAGTTCAAAAAGTACACAAAAGCTCCTCTTTCTGCCTCATTTTACCCCTCACAATGGTGACTTCTTCCCACTGCAGATGCCTGAGGGACTATTTATTTCACCTCCTTCCCAGTCAAAACAAAACACAGAATAATCTAACAGTCAATCCCTTAGCATGTGTCACAGAAAAAAAGAAAAACAGAATCAAGAAACCTGAGTTCAAGTTCTGACTCTGTCACAAATCACTAGATATCTGAGGCAGCTCAGTGAACCTGTGGTTCTTGGTTTACCAATTGAGCAGAGACCCCTCGCCCCAGCAACCTACCTCATTGCCCAAAGTTCTTCCCCTTCGGTTCCAGATTATTTGGTTAATGTTCTGGGTCACATGTGATACTTTGGTTAGCCTTTTATGACTTTTCATAATTAACCCTTAGTATATTTAATATTCTAAATTAATCCCTCTGTATTTTTCCAGTTTTTAAAAAGTTGATTATCAT